CGAGACCCCCGCGCCCGCAGCCACCCGCGCCGGGGCTCCGGCGGTTGCACTCGCCGCCCCCTCTTACCTTCACCTCCCCCAGCCACCACCTTTTAAAACATTCATCCCTCGGTGCAAAGCAGACATTTTGATGTCATTTACTTAGCACCGCTCGGTTTCAGAAGCAACATCTTACCCCGTCGCCTGGAGGTGTGGGCAGCGCACCGATGGGTCCGGGGGCGCAAGGCTGGGCTGCTCGGTCCTCTAGCGGAGCGGGTTTGCTGCCATCCGCCCAACTTCAGCACCCAGCGGGCGAGGAGAGAGGGAGAGAGGCGAGGATGGAGGGGAGAGGGGAAGGGGAGGAGGGAGGGTGGGCGGGGAGGGAGCGGGCGCCGCTCGGCAGCGCGCATGCGCCCCGCGGGCGGGCGCAGCCCCTCGCCCGGCTCGGCCCGAGGTGCCGCTTCTTCCCCCGGCGCGCGGCCGCGTGAGTCACGGCCCCGCCCCTCCCGGCGGCCCGGCCCCCGCGCGCTCGCCTCGGCGCCGCGCCCACGGTGCGGGGGTCTGCGCGGAGCTTCGCCGGAGCCTCGGGGACCTGGGAGCCTTCCTTGATTGGAGAGGCTCAGCCTCCTGGGCTCCCTCAACTTCACGTTCGCCCGCAGCCCGCGTTATTTTCTCGTGCGCCTTAGGAGACTGCTGGAAACCAGAAGCGTGTCTTTTAGGAGGGGGAAAAAGCGCTGCAACGGTGGGGTCCCAGGGGAAGCAGTCCCTGCGGGAGGGTTCAAGAAAGTGGGGGGTTAAGCAAGTTTTGCGCCCCAAAGGACTCGACTGTATGAAGAGTTCTTTGTTGACATCGGCACCCAGAAATCTGACACTTTTGCCTTTAAGAATAATTTCAGATCTGGTCTGGGGCATGTATTCCGTCTCGGGCGTCTGGACCACTGGAGCCAGAGTTTTGAGTGAGAGAAGGCGATGACAAGGCAAGAGTCGTGAATTACTAACAGAGGTGTTGATGCTAGGGGCTTGGAATATCCTTTGGGGACAGCTAGGTAGCTATCAGGTCTGATAATTGTTCCATTCGCTAGCGGAGCCCAGCTCGGTAGTGAAGAAGCTTTGGATGCTTAATGCATCATGAGCGCTAGATTGCATCTCTGATGATTAAATTGAAGTGTTTGTGAGGGTGAATTAGGGAAGCGGGTGTCTCTCTTGAGATGTGACATCTGTGGGAAGAGGAGTGAGTTCCTGGCTGGAATGATTAGGCTTTTTTCTTGTACCTACTTAAAACTGATTACTTGTAAATATATATGATTTCCCATTGCTTGTGTTCTCCTACATTCAAACAGTGTTAGCGTTATTTCAAGCTCCCATACTGAACACCCTCCTGGCCTCCTCCCGCCTCACCTCTACAGGAGTTAAATAGGTCTCAGGGTTTGCTCCCGGGCCTCCTTTCTCTAGCTACATCATAACTTTGAGTGTTAGTGCTCTTCAAAGTGTATTCCCTCCACTGGGGTTGGTCTGCAAACTGTTCCTTATTGGTCTGTAATGAGAGAGGAGTATAGAAATCGAGAGTTACATTTAGAAACTTTCACAATAATTTGACATTGCCTTGGCATCCAAGCATATTAGTCCGTTGTACCTTTGTGTCTGATTTTATCTGTAAAGTAATTCATGTTTGTTGGATTTTACAAAAGTATTGGTCCACGATGCAAAAGATAAATGCAAAGTTGTTTTCAAAACAAAAGTTGAAAAAAATAAAGTGTCATGGTTTGAGCAGCCCCAAATTCTATGTCCCTCCCAGATTTATATCTTCAGTCCTGATCTTGCGGAACTCTGTTATGTTCTTAACTACCTTTATGGCTCCATTTGAAGAATAATTATACTAGTTTATATTTATTGAACCATTACTGTGTGTTAAGTTCTGACCTAAATGTTTTACATACGCTTCTTATTTTCTCTACAAGGTAGATGCTATTATTATGTTTAACAGACATCTTAGAAGCAGAACTCCAGATATCGACCCCCTCCAAACCTGTACCTAATTGTTCTACCTAGTTACTCTTGTCAAAAAATTAGAAGTTATCTTTGTTTTGTCTCTTTTACCCCACATCTAATTAATTAGCAAGTCGCTTCGTCTCGACCTCCAACATATATCCCCAATTCATCCACATCGCTCCCTGCCCTTTGCTACAACCATGGTCCAAGCTTCTATCGTCTCTCACAGGAACTACCACAAAAGCCACCAATTAGTTCCTCCTCCACAACCCAAAACAACACATTCTCTGAACAACAGACGAGTGATCTTTTAAAAACATAATCCCATCATGCCATGCTTCTGCTTAAAACTCTCCAACGAGTTTTCATTGCACTTTAAATACAATCTCTAACCCTTACCACTGCCGAGAAGGCTTTATGTAATCTTGTCCCAGCCTAGTTCTCTCAGACCATGTTCCCATACACCACAGCTATGTGTGGCGTAGCCACATCAGCCTATTTCTTTTACTTTCTTGAATAAGTTTAGCTTATAGTACTTGCTGTTCTTTCTGCGGAAATCCTCTGCCCCCAAATCTTTAGAGTAGACTCCTTAATATCCTGCAGGTCTCTGTTTAGGTATCACCTACTCAGGATTTACCTAGCCACTCAATGTAATCTTCCCCAGAGTTCTTCTCTCTTGTATCTTCTTGCTTTATTTTCTTCCAAATACTTTTCGTTATCTGAGTCAGCTTGCATATGTTGACTTGTTTATTATCTCCTTCTCCCCCCTCTAGAATAATGTACCTCAAGAGGTTTGCCTGCACTTTTCACTCTTTTATCTCTAGTGCTCAGAACAAGATTTGGCACATTGTATATGTTCAGGATTTAGCGGATGAATTCATGATTGAATGAATAAATAACACGCTTAAAAAAAAGCATTCTTTATTTTTTTCTGATGCTTCTTTTTCTTGGATCCTCATTGCTGCGTATGAGAATCTGTTGTTTCCCCCAAGTGCACAGTCTACCTTGTTTCCTCTGCCCGCTCTATCAAAGATCACTCCTTGCAATGTCACACATGTAAACTAGATGCCAGAGGAGTGTTCTCAGAACCAACTTTATAACAAGCTCAACAACAACAACAAAAAGAGAGAGAGAGAGAGAGAGAGAGCGATCTTTTCCTTCCATGAACTTCTCTAAAATGTAATAATGGCTGTTTGGGAAATTTTTTGCACCTGTGACCAGCTGGCTATTCAGTCAGTAATTTACTTGCTGAAGTCAAATGTAACTTCTTGGTGACTTTCTTTCACAGTTGCAGTTTATTGTGCAATCCTTTACGCATTAGCCAGAATCTTCAATGACGGTGTTTTAGGAACTGGATGTGTTGCCTATGCTCTGAATGTTGAAGAGATGGGTGGAAGTGACCACAGGTTTAATGACCTTCACCTCACAGAGTTTCACCACTTGCAGTCTATGTGCATATCTGGGTCTTAGGAAATACCTGCAACACCAATGCATCAAATAATGACTAGGAGAATAATTCCATTCAATAAACTTTATTAATGTCTGCTATATGCCTGGTATTATGTCAAGTGTTTTTTTTGCAAAAAATGTAAATGTTATATAAAATTATTATATATGAGTCAGAAATGGATTGCAGTTTATTTTAGCCATGGGGATGCCTTCTCTTTGTGCAGAATTTCAGAACTCCTTGAGCTTATCATTATCAAGCAGCTGTGTGGTAACTATGAAAAGCACTTTTTGATCATGATCATTTCCATACCATTACGAATGCATTTTTCAAGTAGAATCTGGATACAGCAGCAGATTTTGGTATAATGACTTCATAGTAAGGGAGACAGGAGATTTGCAAGTAAGATATTTGCAGACAGAAGATATTGGAAAAGGACAGAGCATCAAAATGTTTATAGTACATTTATTCATATTTAGGGGTACTTGTCATCATTAGGAGAGCTGAAATATACCTCAGTGAGTTTGGTAACCTTAGAAGGTTATTTCAGTAAGAAATTATGTAGCATATTTACATTTTATTCTCTCTTTTCCAACATGATCATTTATTTAACATCAACTGTTCTACCTTTGAAAAGCAGATGGAAAAGGAAGAAATTTGCTTGGATCTAGGAAACACTGACTGCTCCATCTAGGCAAACTTCTCCAGAGTAGAGCTGGAAAGAGAGTTAAAATATGACTCCTTAAACACACTTTTGTCTTTTTGGTAAACAGAACTTACCATGTTTCTCCAATTGATTCTAATCAATCCTCAGAGACAGGTTCTTCTCAGGGAACTTATTTAGATGGAAGCAGTCTGATTCCCAAATATGTAAAATGAGATATAATTAACAGTTTTACATTTTATATGTACTTTTTTAAACATAAATCATGAGTTACTGAAATTTCTTTAATTGTTTAACTTATCAGAATTAAGCTTTAAAAGGCTCAATATTATTGTTAGAATGGCATTCGTGCATTTACACCTCAACATAATTGGATGGGTCTGTGGAAGCAGATATAAAGACCATTTTTTATTAGTTATGCTCAATTTTGTATATCATAAATTCACTCAAGATAGAGTCAAGTGTCAGTCACCCCAAGTACTTTACAAGTGCTCATTTGATGGGCCCTGCATGTTCAGATTGTTTGGTTCAACGGGTCACTCATATAATGTTGGACAATATCACTCTGCCTTACATGGAAAAATAACAAAATATTTATTTCACCTAGAGAGCACAATAATGGTCCATTATTACAGTCAGATTCTTTGTGGATGGAGAAAAAGTTCAGAATTTAGTGGTCTATGTTATATTATCTTGAGATCTTTGAGGGCTCCTAGGTGATGGTAGCTGGATTGTGGAACAGACTTTTGCTTTGTCAGACCTATCTCCAGGGTCTGACGGAAGTCAGGGGGAGAGAGACAGTGGTTTGATTTCACGGTAATTTCTCAGGTCTTTACTATGTTCTGGTTTATGGCAGAGCAAGTTCAGAGATGCAGAAAGTTAATGAAGATCTTTGTGTATATGAGTATTACGTATACAATCTAGAAGGGCCCAGGTGACTAATTTTTGAGTTCCATATTGCAACATACTTAAATTGCAAATCAGAAACCTGTACTCACATTGTCAAATTTTTGCTAAAGGCTCTATGGTTTCTTGATTTCCTGTGAACTAGTTTCACAGTATACACAAGTCTTTCACGGTGTCACCTTAAGTCTTCACATTTGAATTTAAGTAGAATTTACCTAATACTGTGCATGATTGCCCATTCAGTCTCATCCATCTATTAATTCATTCACCCACTCAAAGGGCTCTTAGGAAATGTCTGTCCTGGCATTGTGGGAAATAGAAATACAGTGGAAAATAAT